AAAATTAAGGTGAAATGAGAGGATATTCTGCCCTCTCCTTCACCATTGTATTATTTTATATGTCTTTAATTACTTGCTGGCTAGTCTTAGTCCACTTTTTCACACAGATCAAGCAACAAGTAGCAAGGGCTAATTTGTTCCAAGAGAACCTTCTTTTTTGTGTCAATTTATTTTGATGATCTTGCAATTGTGACTAATGAAAAATTTTAGATTGAAAAAACAATTGAAGTGTGCATGGGTAGGAAGAGAGTTTTAGATTGGGTCATTGCCTAGATTGGGTCATTGCCTCTATAACCCAAACTTAATGAGCTCTGGGAGAAGGATGTTTTATTCATGTAACTCCTGCAGCAATTGAAATACAGCAAATGTAATTATGAATAAAGAGTGCATTTAGGCCACTATTGAAAATTAAGATGAATTATGCTTAATTACACTCTAAACATATCGAGAAACCGTGATACTTATAAAATTATAAAGGATTTGGGTATCTCAACCATTACTTATATAACTAAGAGTTTTACTCACATTCTAAATTTAACAAAATTCATGGTACTTTTGTAGATAGAGTATAGATAAAGGGCTCTAAGTCTGTATTCATCGTTTAATGGATATCCTCTTTATCATAAGTGGTGAGAATTGGCTATTTTATTGATTGCCTCTCGAAATCGAAATCCTTGTTCGATCAGTGAGTAAACCGAGAAAAGGTTTTTGCATAGTTAACACCAGACAAACTGTCATGTAGAAGTAAAACTCAAATTAACTAGTTCAATTAATATAACATGTAAGGTGATAGAATTGATTGGAACTAAATAATCACACAAAATATGTAGAAGAGAAGAAAAGAATAAACAACTCAAATTATTGTTAACACCACGAACCAAGAAGAAATTCTTACCACAATGACGTCTAATAAGTTCTACAGATTCTCTTTTATGAAAAATAGTCCTCTATATATAACTCTTATTCATAATCTACTAGACTTGTTAAATAAGTGACAATCACACAAGTAATTACCTAATAAAATATTAGTTGCTAAACAAGAAAACTACTAAAAACTTGAATCTGATAAAACAACTAAAATTAATTAGGAATCTTCATAACTTGGTTCATTTTGTCAATAGTGATTCTCTTGATCCAAACTTCCTATTAAGGTCTAACACCTTCTCAACCAATAGTTGCTATTGAAAATTTTGTTGGTTGGAAACAACATCAGAAATAGGTTAAAAAGTAAGTAGAGAAAAGAAAGCTAAAAAAAAAAAAAAGAAACCCCTTTCGTAGAATTTGTGCACATAAACTGAAACTGCCAAATCTCATTCCCACAGTCCTATTCCCACTAGGATTTTGTTGCTTATATTCGTTCATTACATGTGCAGTATCCTCAAAACTACAAATCCTCTTCACTTTAGGAGTCGGGAGAAATCCTATTCCTCTATGTAACTCCTCTCAACTCATTCTATATAAGTTTATTATCCTCGCTGATTTCTTCATACTTTGTTTTCTAAAATTTTTCGATATCGTCAATGGCTAGACAGTCAACTATGTATTCTACTTTGAAGCCTTGCCTCTTTATTCTAATCTGCATCCTCATAGTCAGTCCTACAACTTTCACGGCTTAAGAAACCATTTGTCCCTTCCAACATATCTACCAGTTCGGCGATTCAATCTCAGATACGGGAAACATCATCCTCAAGGATGGCTTAGCTTCAGTATCTCCCTTATCTCGCTTGCCATATGGAATGACTTCCTTCCATAGACCTACTGGTCGATGCTCAAACGGCCTTCTCATGATCGACTCCATCTCCAGAGCTCTTAATCTTCCTCTCCTGGACCCCTACTTGAAAAGAACTGGAGTATTCAATCAGGGAGTAGACTTTGCTGTAGCGGGGAGCATAGCTCCCGACACCTCATTTTTCCAGGCCCGAAATATTCCAGTTCCTATCTCCAATACTCCTCTCGGTGCTCAGATGCAGTGGTTTAAAAATCATCTCAAATATGTTGGCCGTTCCCCATCAGATTGTGCAGCTAGACTTCAAAGATCCTTAATAATGATGGGAGAAATCGGGGGAAATGATTATAACCATACTTTCTTCAATGGAAAATCAATACAAGAGGTCAGGACTTATGTTCCTCACGTCGTAAGTGCGATAATCAATGGGGTAAGAGAAGTTGTTAGACTCGGGGCTGCTCGTGTTGTGGTTCCAGGAAATTTCCCTATTCGTTGCATCCCAATTTATTTGACTAGTTTTGCGATTCCTGAACCAGAAGCATACGACCAGATGGGATGCCTGAGAGAGGTAAATGAGTTTGCAAGGTACCACAACTACTATCTTCAAAGGGCTCTTCATTCTTTGAGGCAAAAGTTGAAAAGGGATAATCCAAATGTGGTTGTTGTCTACGCTGATTACTACGGGGCTCTGGAATCAGTTCTTGCTTGTGCTCCATTTCTTGGATTCGACCGAAGATCTTTATTAAAATCATATTGTGGGATTGGAGGGATTTACAACTATGATGGTCGGAGGATGTGCGGAACACTTGAAGTTCCAGTTTGTCGGGAGCTTGAAAAGTACATATATTGGGATGGAATTCATGTGACACAGAGAGCTAATCGCCATATGTCTGAGTTTCTGATCAGTTACATGTTATCAAAGATGCAGTGCGTGTGGTAGATACTAGATAGATATATGGATAAAGTTGGAGACAATTTTCTATTACACGTGTGCTTGCTTAGTCTTAATAAAGGTGAATTCTAGGCCTAATAATTTGTTTGGTATCAATTGTTGATGACATGGACTGGTACAAATTCTTGTGCAAATAAGAGACATTATCCAAGAAGATTGATGCTTAGAATGCTCTAATTCCAATTGCTTCCTGTAAATTTGTTTGTTTATCAATTGATTTTCAAATAATGTCACATATGATTGTTATCTAATACAAAAAATTAAATACAAAACGAAGATCGATATAGATATTGTTAAGAATGATTGGTAGATTTATAATACTATTGAAACACAATTGGTGATTTCAAAGTTCCGGACTTGAGGTATGGTTTTACTTAAAAAAAAAAGGCGTAATATTGATTTTCTAGCTCAGTAAGAGTTGAGATATATTTTTTGTCTAACCAATTAGTGCTAGGTAGTTGATGATACTTGCAACTCACTTTGTACATGCCAACTCATTAACAGACATTCGCATAATGGGCAGGGGCGGAGCCAGAAAAAATTCTTAGTGGGGCAAAAACAACACTAAAATTTTGTACCTCCTCTTTTTCTTGTTTTTTAAGCAAAAAAAAATTCACTAACAAGTACAAATGATGTATATATTCCATGAAAAACATAAAAAGGTAAATTCAAAATTATTAATGTAATAATAATTTTATTTTAAAAACAAACTAAACTATAGGTGGTGAGAATTGGCTATTTTATTCATTGTCGCTCGAAATCGAAATCCTGGTTCGATTAGTGGGTAAACCGAGAAAGGTTTCCGCATAGTTCACACCAGACAAACTGTCATGTAGAAGTAAAACTCAAATTAACTAGTTCAATTAATATAACATGTAAGGTGATAGAATTGATTGGAACTAAATAATCACACAAAATATGTAGAAGAGAAGAAAAGAATAAACAACTCAAATTATTGTTAACACCACGAACCAAGAAGAAATTCTTACCACAATGACGTCTAATAAGTTCTACAGATTCTCTTTTATGAAAAATAGTCCTCTATATATAACTCTTATTCATAATCTACTAGACTTGTTAAATAAGAGACAATCACACAAGTAATTACCTAATAAAATATTACTCCCTCCGTCCCGAAAAGTTTGTCACTTTTCGGGAATTAGAATATTTTTCAATAGTAGACAAGAATAAGAGATAGCTGTCTGTAATTCCTAAATTATCCCCGCCAAGCTGTCCAAATTTTGCCTATAGTGGTGCGGATGAAGTTATTCAAATGGTTTATGCAAACTAGTCAACACTTTGGGCCCACTACATTATTAAAGCTACACTAACTTTTTGCTTATTTTGCACTGCACGCGCTAGTAAACATTGGCTAGCATCAGCCACGCACTTCGAAGCGTGTCTTATTCTTTTGACAATTTATGCTGGATCCACATATTTAAAGGTAGTGTCAGAAGGGTAAAATTAGAAGAAGGAGAAAAATTCATTTGCCATTTTAGGTATGTGACAAACATTTTGGGACAGACCAAAATGGAAAGCATGACAGTTTCAATGGGACGGAGGGAGTAGTTGCTAAACAAGAAAACTACTAAAAACTTGAATATGATAAAACAACTAAAAATTAATTAGGAATCTTCATAACTTGGTTTATTTTGTCAATAGTGGTTCTCTTGATCTAAACTTCCGATTAAGGTCTAACACCTTTTCAACCAATAGTTGCTATTGAAAATTTTGTTTGTTGGAAACAACATCAGATATAGGTTAAAAAGTAAGGAGAGAAAAGAAAGCTAAAAAAAAAAAAGAAATCCCTTTCTTAGAATTTGTGCACATAAACTGAAACTGCCAAATCTCGTTCCCACAGTCCTATCCCCACTAGGATTTTGTTGCTTATATTCATTCCTTACATGTGCAGTATTCTCAAAACTACAAATCCTCTTCACTTTAGGAGTCGGGAGAAATCTTATTCCTCTATGTAACTTCTCTCAACTCATTCTATATAAGTTTATTATCCTCGCTGATTTCTTCATACTTTGTCTTCTCAAAATTTTTCGATATCTTCAATGGCTAGACAGTCAACTATGTATTCTACTTTGAAGCCTTGCCTTTTTATTCTAGTCTGCTTCCTCATAGTCAGTCCTACAGCTTTCACGGCTCAAGAAACTATTTGTCCCTTCCACATATCTACCAGTTCGGCGATTCAATCTCAGATACGGGAAACAACATCCTTAAGGATGGCTTAGCTTCAGTATCTCCCTCATCTCGCTTGCCATATGGAGTGACTTCCTTCCATATACCCACTGGTCATTCTCAAACGGCCTTCTCATGATCGACTTCATCTCCAGAGCTCTTAATCTTCCTCTCCTGGATCCCTGCTTGAAAAGAACTGGAGTATTCAATCAGGGAGTAGACTTTGCTGTAGCTGGGAGCACAGCTCTCGACACCTCATTTTTTCAGGCCCGAAATATTCCAGTTCCTATCTTCAATACTCCTCTCAGTGCTCAGATGCAATGGTTTAAAGATCATCTCAAATTTGTCTGTCGTTCCCCATCAGATTCTGCAGCTAGACTTCAAAGATCCTTAATAATGATGGGAGAAATCGGGGGTAATGATTATAACCATGCTTTCTTCAATGGAAAATCAATACAAGAGGTCAGGACTTATGTTCCTCACGTCGTAAGTGCGATAATTAATGGGGTAAGAGAAGTTGTTAGACTCGGGCTGCTCGTGTTGTGGTTGCAGGAAATTTCCCTATTAGTTGCATCCTAATTTATTTGACTAGTTTTGCGAATCCTGATCTAGAAGCATACGACCAGATGGGATGCTTGAGAGAGGTAAATGAGTTTGCAAGATACCACAACTACTATCTTCATAGGGCTCTTCATGCTTTGAGGCAAAAGTTGAAAAGGGACAATCTAAACGTGGTTGTTGTCTACGCTGATTACTACGGGGCTCTGGAATCAGTTCTTGCTCGTGCTCCATTTCTTGGATACGACCGAAGATCTTTATTAAAATCGTGTTGTGGGATTGCAGGGATTTACAACTATGATGGTCGGAGGATGTGCGGAACACCTGGAGTTCCAGTTTGTCGGGAGCCTGAAAAGTACATATATTGGGACGGAATTCATATGACACAGAAAACTTATCGCCATATGTTTGAGTTTCTGATCAGTGACATGTTGTCAAAGATGCAGTGCGTGTGGTAGATACTAGATAGACATGTGGATAAAGTTGGAGACAATTTTCTATTGCACGTGTGCTTGCTTAGTCTTAATAAAAGTGAATTCTAGGCCTAATAATTTGTTAGGTATCAATTGTTGATGACATGGACTGGTACAAATTCTTGTGCAAATAAGAGACATTATGCAAGAGGATTAATGCTTGGAATGCTCTAAATTCAATTGCTTCCTGTAAATTTGTTTGTTTATCAATTGATTTTCAAATAATGTCACATATGATTGATATCTAATACAAAGAATTAAATACAAAAGAAAGATCGATATAGATATTGTTAAGAATTATTAGTAGATTTATAATACTATTGAAACACAATTGGTGATTTCAAAGATCCGTACTTGAGGTATGGTTTTAATTAAAAAAATGGCGTAATATTGAATTTCTAACTCAATAAGAGTTGAGATATATTTTTTGTCTAGCCAATTAGTGCTAGGTAGTTGATGATACTTGTAACTTACTTTGTACATGCCAACTCATTAACAGACATTCGCATAATGGGCAGGGGCGGAGCCAAAAAAAATTCTTAGTGGGAGATAAAACAACACCAAAATTTTTTATCTACTCTTTTTTTAGTTTTATAAGCAAAAAAAAAAAAAAAATTCACCAACAAGTACAAATGATGTATATATTCCATGAAAAACATAAAAAGACAAATTTAAAATTATTAATGTAATAATAATTTTATTTCAAAAATAAACTAAACTATAGGTGGTGAGAATTGGTTATTTTATTCATTGTCTCTCGAAATCGAAATCCTGGTTCGATTAGCGAGTAAACTGAGAAAAGGTTTTTGCATAGTTCACACTAGACAAACTGTCATGTAGAAGTAGAACTCAAATTAATTAGTTCAATTAATATAACATGTAAGGTTATAGAATTGAATGGAACTAAATAATCACACAAAATATGTAGAAGAGAAGAAAAGAATAAACAATTCAAATTATTGTTAATACCTCGAACCAAGAAGAAATTCTTACCACAATGACGTCTAATAAGTTCTACAGATTTTTTTTTATGAAAAATAGTCCTCTATCTATAACGCTTATTCATAATCTACTAAACTTGTTAAATAAGAGACAATCACACAAGTAATTACCTAATAAAATAATAGTTGCTAAACAAGAAAACTACTAAAAACTTGAATCTGATAAAACAACTAAAAATTAATTAGAAATCTTCACAATTTGATTTATTTTGTCAATAGTGATTCTCTTGATCCAAACTTCCTATTAAGGTCTGACACCTTCTCAAGCAATAGTTGCTATTGAAAATTTTGTTGGTTGGAAACAATATCAGATAAAGGTTAAAAAGTACGGAGACAAAAGAATGCTAAAAAAAAAAAAAAATCCCTTTCGTAGAATTTGTGCACATAAACTGAAACTATCAAATCTCGTTCCCACAGTCCTATCCCCACTAGGATTTTGTTACTTATATTCATTCCTTAAATGTGCAGTATCTTCCAAACAACAAATCCTCTTTACTTTAAGAGTCGGGAGAAATCCTATTCCTCTATGTAATTCCTCTCAACTCCTTCTATATAAGTTTATTATCCTCGCTGATTTCTTCATACTTTGTTTTCTCAAAACTTTTCGATATCTTCAATGGTTAGACAGTCAACTATGTATTTTACTTTGAAGCGTTGCCTCTTTATTCTAGTCTGCTTCCTCATAGTCAATCCTACACCTTTCACGGCTCAAGAAACCATTTGACCCTTCCAACATATCTACCAGTTCGACGATTCTATCTCAGATACGGGAAACATCATCTTCAAGGGTGGCTTAGCTTCAGTATCTCCCTCATCTCGCTTGCCATATGGAATGACTTCCTTCCATAGACCCACTGGTCGATCCTCAAACGGCCTTCTCATGATGGACTTCATCTCCAGAGCTCTTAATCTTCCTCTCCTAGATCCCTACTTGAAAAGAATTGGAGTATTCAATCAAGGAGTAGACTTTGCTGTAGCTGGGAGCACAGCTCTCGACACCTCATTTTTCCAGGACCGAAATATTCCAGTTCCTATCTCCAATACTCCTCTCAGTGGTCAGATGCAATGGTTTAAAGATCATCTCAAATCTGTCTGCCGTTCCCCATCAGATTGTGCAACTAGACTTCAAAGATCCTTGATAATGATAGGAGAAATCGGGGGTAATGATTATAACCATGCTTTCTTCAATAAAAAATCAATACAAGAGGTCAGGACTTATGTTCCTCACGTTGTAAGTGCGATAATCAATGGGGTAAGAGAAGTTGTTAGACTCAGGGCTGCTCGTGTTGTGGTTCCAGGAAATTTTTCTATTGGTTGCATCCCAATTCATTTGACTAGTTTTGTGAATCCTGATCCAGAAGCATACGACCAAATGGGATGCCTGAGAGAGGTAAATTAGTTTGCAAGGTACCACAACTGCTATCTTCAAAAGGCTCTTCATTCTTTGAGGTAAAAGTTGAAAAGGGATAATCCAAACATGGTTGTTGTCTACGCTGATTACTACGGGGCTCTGGAATCAGTTCTTACTCGTGCTCCGTTTCTTGCATTCGACCGAGGATCTTTTTTAAAATCACGTTGTGGGATTGGAGGGATTTATAACTATGATGGTCGGTGGATGTGCGGAACACCTGGAGTTCCAGTTTGTCGGGGGCCTGAAAAGTACATATATTGGGATGGAATTCATATGACACAGAAAGCTTATCGCCATACGTCTGAATTTCTGATCAGTGACATTTTGTCATAGATGCAGTGCGTGTGGTAGATACTAGATAGACATATGGATAAAGGTGGAGACAATTTTCTATTGCACGCGTGCTTGCTTAGTCTTAATAGAGGTGAATTCTAAGCCTAATAATTTGTTTGGTATCAATTGTTGATAACATGGCTGGTACAAATTCTTGCGCAAATAAGAGACATTATTCAAGAAGATTAATGCTTAGAATGCTCTAATTTCAATTGCTTCCTGTAAATTTATTTGTTTATCAATTGATTTTGAAATAATGTCACATATGATTGTTATCTAACATAAAGAATTAAATACAAAAGGAAGATCGATATAGATATTGTTAAGAATGATTAGTAGATTTATAATACTATTGAAACACAATTAGTGATTTCAAAGTTCCGTACTTGAGGTATGGTTTTATTTAAAAAAAAAGGCATAATATTTAATTTTTAGCTCAGTAAGAGTTGAGATATATTTTTTGTCTAGCCAATTAGTGCTAGGTAGTTGATGATACTTGCAACTCACTTTGTACATGCCAACTCTTTAACAGACATTCGCATAATGGGCAGGGACGGAGCCAGAAAAAATTCTTAGTGGGGGCAAAAATTAAACTAAAATTTTTTACCTATTATTTTTCTAGTTTTAAGCAAAAAAAAACATACATTCAAAATTTAACAAAAATTCATAGTACTTTTGAAGATAGAGTATAGATAAAGAGCTCTAAGTCTGTATTCATCGTTTAATGGATATCCTCATTATCACAGGTGGTGATAATTGGCTATTTTATTCATTGCCTCTCGAAATCGAAATCCTGGTTCGATCAGTGGGTAAACTGAGAAAAGATTTTTGCATAGTTCATACCAGACAAACTGTCATGTAGAAGTAGAACTCAAATTAACTAATTCAATTAATATATCATGTAAGGTTATAGAATTGAATGGAACTAAATAATCACACAAAATATTTAGAAGAGAAGAAAAGAATAAACAACTTAAATTATTGTTAATACCTCGAAGCAAGAAGAAATTCTTACCACAATGACGTCTAATAAGTTCTACAGATTCTCTTTTATGAAAAATAGTCCTCTATCTATAACTCTTTTTCATAATCTACTAGACTTGTTAAATAAGAGACAATCACACAAGTAATTACCTAATAAAATATTAGTTGCTAGACAAGAAAACTACTGAAAACTTGAATCTGATAAAACAACTAAAAATTAATTAGGAATCTTCATAACTCGGTTTATTTTGTCAATAGTAATTCTTTTGATCTAAACTTCCTATTAAGGTCTAACACCTTCTCAAGCAATAGTTCCTTTTGAAAATTTTGTTGGTTGGAAACAACATCAGATATAGGTTAAAAAGTAAGGAGAGAAAAAAAAGCTAAAAAAAAAAAAAGAAATCTCTTTTGTAGAATTTGTGCACATAAACTGAAACTGCCAAATCTCGTTCCCACAGTCCTATCCCCACTAGGATTTTGTTGTTTATATTCATTCCTTACATGTGCAGTATCCTCAAAACTACAAATCCTCTTCACTTTAGGAGTCGGGAGAAATCCTATTCCTCTATGTAACTTCTCTCAACTCATTCTATATAAGTTTATTATTCTCGCTGATTTCTTCATACTTTGTTTTCTCAAAACTTTTCGATATCTTCAATGGCTAGACAGTCAACTATGTATTCTACTTTGAAGCCTTGCCTCTTTATTCTAGTCTGCTTCCTCATAGTCAGTCCTACAGCTTTCACGGCTCAAGAAACCATTTGTCCCTTCCAACATATCTACTAGTTCGGCGATTCAATCTCAGATACGGGAAACATCATCCTCAAGGGTGGCTTAGCTTCAGTATCTCCCTCATCTCGCTTGCCATATGAAATGACTTACTTCCATAGACCCATTGGTCGATGCTCAAACGGCCTTCTCATGATCGACTTCATCTCCAGAGCTCTTAATCTTCCTCTCCTGGATCCCTACTTGAAAATAACTGGAGTATTCAATCAGGGAGTAGACTTTGCCGTAGCGGGGAGCCTCGACACCTCATTTTTCCAGGCCCGAAATATTCTAGTTCCTATATCCAATACTCCTCTCAGAGCTCAGATGCAATGGTTTAAAGATCATCTCAAATCTGTCTGCCATTCCCCATCAGATTGTGCAGCTAGACTTCAAAGATCCTTAATAAAATCATGTTGTGGGATTGGAGGGATTTACAACTATGATGGTCGGTGGATATGCGAAACACCTGGAGTTCCAGTTTGTCGAGAGCCTGAAAAGTACATATATTGGGATGGAATTCATATGACACAGAAAGTTTGTCGCCATATGCAGCCACGGATTTAAGGGGGGGCTGGTGGGGGCTTAAGCCCCCCCCCCAAGCCGCCGGAAAACCCCCTATATATAGCCGTAGACCGCAAGAAAGGAAAGAAGGAAACGAATTGCAGGATGGCTGTCAGGTATGTAGTGCTGATTTTGACCTTATGTTTGATGACTGGTTTCGCTTCTGTTAACGCATATGGCACTATGAAGATTTTGTGTTACGAGAATCAACAATGTATCTGCAGCTCCAAGGAATGTGTGAAACTTTGTAACTGAGAGCACGATCGAGAGTGAGGTCGCTTTACTGAACCACTTGGTACAATTCTCTAGTGGTTATTGGCAACGCTCTTATATGTAGCATGCTCTACAACTTTCGATTACCTTTTCTTTTCTTTTCTTTTTTTAAAAATTTCGTCTAATTCAGTGTGTTTGGATATGAAATTATTTGAAAAAAATTATTTGGAGAAGCTCTATTACAATTTTCATGATGCGATGCATATAACATAAAAATATGCTTAAAAATTGCATTTATGATATAAATTGAATAATATTTGATTTTTTTTTTTGGTAACGGGGGAGGAGTGAGAATATAAAAAGGGAAGGAGGTAGCAGGATTGGCAGCGGGGCAGGTTTCAAGTAGGGTAGTTGGTAGTCCTCCCGCCTTGCCCCTGCTACTCTAGCAGGTACGTCTGTCCAACCCTACTACTATTTTTACTCTTCATCCCCCCCAAAAATAAATTTCTGGCTCCGTCCCTGGCCATATGTCTAAGTTTCTCATCAGTGACATGTTGTCAAAGATGCAGTGCGTGTGGTAGATACTATATAGATATACGGATAAAGTTGGAGACAATTTTCTATTGCACGTGTGCTTGTTTAGTCTTAATAGAGAAGAATTCTAGACCTAATAATTTGTTTGGTATCAATTGTTGATGACATGGACTGGTACAATTTCTTGTGCAAATAAGAGACATTATCCAAGAAGATTAATGCTTAGAATGCTCTAATTTCAATTGCTTCCTGTAAATTTGTTTGTTTATCAATTGTTTTTCAAATAATGTCACATATGATTGTTATCTAATACAAAGAATTAAATACAAAAGGAAGATCGATATAGATATTATTAAGAATTATTAGTAGATTTATAATACTATTGAAATACAATTGGTGATTTCAAAGTTCCGTACTTGAGGTATGGTTTTACTTAAAAAAAATGTGCAATATTGAATTTCTAGCTCAGTAAAAGCTGAGATATATTTTTTGTCTAGCCAGTTAGTGCTAGGTAGTTGATGATACTTGCAACTCACTTTGTACATGCCAACTCATTAACAGACATTCGCATAATGGGCAGGGGCGGAGCCAGAAAAAATTCTTAGTGGGGGCAAAAACAACACTAAAATATTTTACCTACTCTTTTTCCAGTTTTTTAAGCAAAAAAAAAAAAAAAATTCACCAACAAGTACAAAATGATGTATATATTCCATGAAAAACATAAAAAGATAAATTTAAAATTATTAATGTAATAATAAATTTATTTCAAAAACAAACTAAACTATAGGTGGTGAGAATTGGCTATTTTATTCATTGCCTCTCGAAATCGAAATCCTGGTTCGATCAGTAGGTAAACCGAGAAAAGATTTTTGCATAGTTCACACCAGACAAACTGTCATGTAGAAGTAGAACTCAAATTAACTAGTTCAATTAATATAACATGTAAGGTTATAGAATTGATTGGAACTAAATAATCACACAAAATATGTAGAAGAGAAGAAAAGAATAAACAACTCAAATTATTGTTAATACCACGAACCAAGAAGAAATTCTTACCACAATGACGTCTAATAAGTTCTACAAATTCTCTTTTATGAAAAATAGTCCTCTATCTATAACTTTTATTCATAATCTACTAGACTTGTTAAATAAGAGACAATCACACAAGTAATTACCTAATAAAATATTAGTTGCTAAGCAAGAAAACTACTAAAAACTTGAATATGATAAAACAACTAAAAATTAATTAGGAATCTTCATAACTTGGTTTATTTTGTCAATAGTGATTCTCTTGAACCAAACTTCCTATTGAGGTCTAACACCTTCTCAAGCAACGGTTGCCATTGAAAATTTTGTTGTGGTATAGATCATATGTAACTCCAAACTTAAAATTAGCCTTTGCTTGATACTTTGCATAGAATTTGGTTCCTAACTCTTCTCGATCATTGAACTTATTTATATTAACTCATCCACTATTATAAGTCAACACAATTACTCTTATGAGAATCACTAAGTGCCCGAAAATGCAAAATTATAATTTTCATTATTGCCAAAATTTTCACCACCAAAATCTTCCATTTATTTCAAATAACCCAAAAGGTCACTTTTTTTTTTGGCCTGTAAAAATTATAGCATCAACTGATTGCAAAAATCCACTACCACAACTATCAAAGATATTATCCATCCCAAGAATCCAAGTTGTAGCATTGTTTGAGTTTCTTTCTTTAAGAAATATTTCAATTCCATTAAAATCCACATCAATTAAATCAATTTTTCCATCACCATGCAAAGAGCCAGAGAAAATAAAATCTTCAAGAAAAATTTACTCTTTTTCTTCTCTTACTAAATCAAAATTTTCTTCTTCTTTTACCACATTTATATATTCATTTTTTCCCCAACATATTCATCACTCCCAACTTCTCCAAACAAGGTATAAA